CAAGGCTTAGTTCCTCTGATCTCTCGTAATCGTGGTATGGCGCTTGTGTTAACACAAGAATGATTTCAGGCGAGTTTGGGACTCGCTTTCATTGGTAGGGTTGTCACGATATGCACGTGCATTTTCATTTTCACAAATGTCGACGTAATACGGAACCTTTTACCACGTCTGTATTTTTAGGTACGCTTGGTCGATATGCTTTTTCATCATGAAACACAGTGATGTTGGTAATAACTGTCAAGTTGGATTGAAAAACATGTTAGCAAAACGGTACAATCATAATAAAAACACCACCTTGTAAGAACAGAATTTTGCATTTGATTTTGAAATTTCACTACACACGCGTGTGGATTACCTGGAAGTGGTCCCCCCCTCGTAAAAAATAGCGAAAAGTGACAACAAAATAATGATAGTTTGTAATACAACTTTTGTATTCGGGTGTCCAAAATTATGGGACAAATCATCAGAGTTGGTCTGTCGATTTCATGTGACTGTGTAAAATTTGGTTTTGTTGCAATCATTAGATTTTGCGTTAGTGAGCAATTCATTGTCTGCAGCATTAATATACTCTCCCAAAAAAGAAACGCATATAGGAATTTCAACTGTATTTTTATGTTTATTTTGAAACATCTTGTATACTTTATGAGTCAATGAAATATAGCGAAATTGCACACTGGGAATGCAGACTTATCTGTCTTTGGCACCAACTCGAGAAAAGTTAGTTTGAGTGTCACATGGAGACGTGTGGTGGCGCTGAAGTCAATACCTCGTGTGACCACCGTGGGCATTCAGAACTGCACGGCATCGCCTCGGCATCGAACGAATAAGTCTCAGAATCTCGTGTTGCCCAATCGAGCCCACTCTGCCTGTAGTGCTTGTGCGAGTCGCTGAAGTGTCTGGGGCTGAGGGTTACGGCGTCGCACCCGTCTGTCCAGGGCATCCCACAGATGTTCGATCGGGTTTAATTCCGGTGATCTTGAGGGCCAGGTGTCGATGTTGTGGTTCTGGAGGAAGTCTCTAGTGTGACGTGCTGTGTGGGGCCTGGCATTGTCCTGTTGAAACAACTCCCTCTGGCGATCAATGATTGGAAGGAGGCGTGGGCGTATGATTTCGTCACAGTACCGTTGAGCTGTCAGGTTGCCCTGGATCATCACCAAATCACTTCTCCTACGGCAGGTGATCGCTCCCACATCATAACACATTATGGTAACCTTAATGGGCCGTTAGTGGGTATCAACAGATCCTTGAGTGGGCTGTTGCCCCACATTTTGATAACCATCCTCTATCCACAAGACCCATCTTTATGGAAGACAATGCCTCACGGATCACCTGCTGTCAGCCAGTTATTACAACAGAATGCTGCCGAGGCCATCCCGTGGCCAGCCACGTGTCCAGATCTCAATCCCATTGAGCATCTCTGGGACATTTTAGGCAGTCGTGATCGACAGACAGACATAATTATCTGTCCAGACTCTACACGAAGTGACTGCTGCTTTGCATGAGTAATGGAACAGGGTGAGAATCAGATCCGGAGATTGATCCAAGGAATGAAGAGGCGGCTTGAATGAATTGTTCGGGTGCAGGGTGGATACACAATACACTGATGGAAAGTCAGTATTTGGACTTGCAATTCCGTGAACAAGATGTGTGCATGGTACCGACACTACAAGCAAAGTGAAATTCGTAATGTTTTTTCATGAAATGATGGTATTTTCCAAATCTGTACCATCTTCAAATAAACCAGATCATGTCATTGAAATCTTGGCTCTGTTTCTCCTCAACCCTTCCTTTTCACTCCAACATCCATATGATATGGAAATCTTTGACATATTTTATGCAATAGTTCACTAAAGTTGCTCAGTCTGTGAAAATACGGTTGTGGCTTAGTTAATTCCCATATGTATATAAGCAGGGAGCAAGTCGGCGCGCCCTGGACATTCCACAGTTTGTGACGATTATCAGACTGTCGACAAAGGTTGCGGAGGGTATTAACTGTACAACAAGCGTATCTTAATCTTTAAAGTCACCTGTGTGAAATGGAGATGGTGCCATCTCCGAAAGTACGCAGGGTAACCTTGATCTTACAAAGTATGTCAAACAAACATGACACTCCAGGGGCTGTCACTCCCAAGTGGGATGAGCGGATGAGCTACGTTCAGCCATGTTTATTATAAGAGATATACTTATACATCATACTTTAAAGTTTAAACAGTATTGAATTTCACTGAAAGAAAGTATGGATTGGTCAACAGGCAAAAGACATTTGAAGATCTATTAAGTGGGCATATGACTGATGTGATTTTCAGACCAACACACTAAGTTACTTTACACACACGCATACGCGCGCACACACACGCATAATATCACCAATACAACGATCGCATTTGTGGCCATTCAGACAGGTACACCCAATCAGTTCAATAAAGGAGGTTCTTAATTATAATTTGATTTCTCCATTATATCATTTCAATACAGACAATCTGAGAAAACATTTACACTATTTCATTTTGTATGGAAATATACATGCGAAGACTAAACTTAATATGTGTATACATGTCTGTAAAGAGTTTGAAAAAGGTAGTACCTGGAAAACACCATAATGAACTACGGACCAAATCTTAGAGGAGCGAATTCCGAGTAATCAAACAGAGAAGATTAAAACGTTTAACTGCATTGCGATCAATACATGTTTGATACAATAGCGTAATGTAACAAAGTGCATCACAATGAACAAGTTCAGAAGTAATTAAAAACAAATCCTATGTTAATATCTTGGGTACGTGGGTATTGTTTTTGTGTAGGCATTCTATATCTTAAAAACTGACGTGTCATCATCCTGAAGGACCAAAGTCTGCACAACGTTCCACGGTTTCAAAGTTCATTTGCATACACGTGTTCCAAAGCTGATAGCTGGAACAACGAACGTTGGGGCACCCAATACAATCTGCCTCCTTGACCCTAGCAGAAATCTTAGTCACCCACCTCCATGATAAAGAATGAGAATTGAGATACGGCTCAGCCGAGGAATTTTTATCGAGGGACATCACAATGTATCATTCATCATCTGCTTGTGCTTAACTACAAAAGTAATGGTATGGTTGGAGTATTTGTATAGTGACGCTGCTTTCTTACATACAGTTCATTTCAGCGGGGATCGAGGGTAAGAAAGTATCCCGAGCAACGCATGCTGCCTGACCGTCAAAGGCGCATTCCTGGTGACCTCCACCGTGATATTGCGGGAATACTCCGTCGACCGATGGGGAGACCGATGCATAGGCGGATCCAGAGGCGGGGTGCCCCCAGGTTTATTAAATGACGATTGAAAACGGGTGAAAATGAAGTGTGCACGCCCCGACCCACCCTCCTCTCTCAAGAAGCTGTATTCGCCCCTGCGATGGGTGATGTACTGTCAACATTCTAACCCATCAGCATTGGATTCTGATCTTATAGAAACCGATGTACGATAGGGTAAGGGTAATCAATGGACAGCAATGTTCTCCTTTTCGACTGTGCCATTATGGGAAAATAATAGTTTTGAAGACTCCTTCCCGTGGTATTTACAGTTCATGGTACATTCTTCTGTGGTCTTATCTGGCAGGTTATGTCATCAAAATGAATTAATGCTATTCTCTTACACTGGTGAACGTGTATATACCTGGGTTATAGGGAAAGTATTGCATTGATGTGTGTGCGATCCCTGGCACCTGTGGTTGATCACCGTGTACTGAGACACACTGTCCATAAAAACAATGTCCACAATGAGAGTGAGTGTTACTGTTATGACCAAAGCCCTGATCACATGATCCATGTGTTCCAGTTCAACTGAAAAAACTATAAGTATAATTAATACATACACATAAAACGTGACGGTGATGATATTTCATGTATGTAGTTCACTTAAACTACATATACACATAAAAATGTGTCAAGGATGATGGTCATATGGCAACAGTCACTGATGGAAGGTATCACCCAGTACAGAGTAGCTCTGCACGGGAAAGACTCATGTGCGTACCGCCTCCGTGGTGTAGTGACTAGAGCGTCCGCCCCAAGTGTGGAAGGTCGCGGGTTCGATCCCCGACCACGTCATACCAAAAGACGTTAAAATATGGTACTTGTTGGTCCCTGCCTGGCGCTCGGCATTAATGGGTACAACAAGGACTGGTCGGCTTGGAGTCAGTATAATGTGTCTGAGTGGGGTATTCATGCTTCACTGCGGCTTGGTATCTCAGTGGGCTAGCACTATAAAACCAGCTTAAGTCTGGGCTAGTACAAGCAGCCGCACATACACACGCATGCACGTCGTCATATGAGCGAAATATTCTCAAGCATGACGTTAAACCCAATTCCACCACCACCACCCATGTGCGTATGTGTATGCGCGCTTGTGTATGCTGCTTGGAGCTGTAAGGAAAGCCTGGATGTGGAAATGAACATTTTGCCATTTTAACACCAACCATATTTGGGTAACTTTCATCCACACGTTAGACGTTGGCAACATCATGGCGTGTATGTGTGTGTAAAAGCAGCATTCCACGTAAAGAATTGTTTGTCATCTACTCTTATGTCGCTGGTGGGCAGGGTGGGCCAGGTTAGTCCTTGACGTCAATCTTCACATCACTTGTATGACTGCGATCACACACAGAAACACCAGTGGTGTTAATGCTTCTACTTTGATGGCATGTTATCTCTCATCTCTGATCACAGAGGCCATCGTAACTCAATCCTGATTTGGGTTGGGATCAGTAGAGGTAGAAGAACTGATCTCATGTCCTGCAGCAGGCCATGATAAAAGTGATATTCTCATTCTGATGGGCGACATGTTAGTTGGCATTGTGAGGCACAAAACAAACTTCTGTTCACTAAACATGTCTTCACCCAATATTGTTTTCAGCTTTTCAGATGGACACAATTTCTAGTATAAGCTGACCCTTAGCACCCATTGAGAGGTCTATGTTACCTGAATGGTAATATGATACATAAAAAAATACTTCAAACACTAAGGGTTAACATATTTATTCATTACTGAAAATAAGATAGCAATGTTTCATTCTGAAAGAAATTTTCTGACTCCATTTGATCTTGTTAGGAGTGATCTAAACATGTCAACAGAGATCTATCAGAGACTTCATGTGATACGGTATGTCTTAACAATGTTAAAGATTTGATACAAATCTCTCATCTTTCTTCAGATGTCATTTTGAACACGACTAACATGTAAACATTTGGTCCATATCCCTTAGGGAACTGAATGAGTCAGTGAAACTACATCACAAAGAACACAAGATAATCCAACAAGCAATCTCTGGTACACTCACCTGAACACACACACACATTGAAGAATGATCACATCAATCACACTTTTAACCACTCAGTCCCCACTGAAGCTTTCACAGTACTGGAAACCCATCCTTGAGAGGAATACAACCAGATATGTATCATAGTAATGTAACAAGTGTCAGTGGGACCTCTTCACATTTGACACATTTAACTAAAAATTAACTGAGAAATAACAAATTCTGAGATACCACGATACTACTGATATCAAAGGAAAGAATAACAATGTAGGTGAATGTGACTAAAAGTGTAACAAATGAAGAAACAAACCTTCACCAGACAATATTGTAATAAAAAATATTACTGAGGTTGCTGATCCATAGTCATGAAATAGTAGTGAAAAGGTGACATATTTAAAAAATCTGGTGACATAACCATGGCTAAAGAGCTACCAGAACTTGCATTCTGACTTCATGATGAAGACAGAGAGTACAGGGCCGTATCCCACAAAGCCATCCTAGGGATATGACTGGCATAAGTCTATGTAATAGTATGGGGGTTAGGATAACCTGGGCTATGAATGTCAACTTGCAAAGAAACATGATGTCTAGACTAACATTTCTGAACAAACGTAAAGAAGAAATTTGTCTTAAATGGAAAAGAACCTCTTCAAAATATCTGTAAACATGCGACTTATCTATCATTCGCAAACAAACAGCAGTCAAAACATTTGCATGTGCATATAAATGTATATATATGCTAACAAACAAATTCAAACGGCCAGATATGTCTGGGTGCAGTGATCTCTCTCCAGGTACCAGCAGAACAACAACGTCAGTATGACACACTTAATCAATATTGCCACATGTCAGCACACTGTCAAGAGTCAAGATTACCGTTGCGTTTCCAAGGTGGTCGGCGTATACACAGGAGCTGTGGATTCGGGTAATGGCTTTTGTCCAAGGATAATGTCTGCACACTTCTCAGCAACCATGATTGTCGGTCCATTGAGATTGCCACTAACCACACTGGGCATTATGGAGGCATCAACAACCCTGAGTCCATCAACACCAATCACTTTAGCTGAAGGATCAACAACAGCCATTGGGTCACTTGCTGAACCCATCTTACATGTGCAGGAAGGATGGTAAGCACTGTCTGCCATTTTACGAACAAATGCATCAAGATCTTTGTCACTAGTAATGTTATATCCTGGCGCTATCTCAGGACCTCTGAACTCATTAAACGCCTTTTGGGAAAAGATCTCTCTGGTCAGTTTTATTCCATTCCTCATATCAACAATGTCTTCATGTGTGCTCAGATAGTTAGCAACAATCCTTGGGTGCTGTGCTGGATCTTTGGATTTCAGTTTTAAAAAGCCTCTACTTGTTGGTCTCATAGTTCCCACATGAGCTTGGAAAGCATGGCAAGGTCCAATCTTCCTACCATGGTCATTGACAGTTGAAGGCAGGAAGTGATACTGAATGTCTGGATGTTCAATCCCTGGCCGACTGCGGATAAATCCACCAGTTTCAAGATGGGTTGATGCTCCATCCCCAGTGTTTGTGGTGAACCACTGTAAACCTATCCTAATCATGTTGTGTGGAAACTTCCATTGTGCTGAGTACAACGTAATCTTCTTTGTACACTCCTGCTGTACATATATTTCCAGATGGTCCTGAAGATTTTCCCCTACTCCAGGAAGATTTGCTACAACTGGAATGTCCAGTTCCCTCAGTTCATCAGCATTGCCAATCCCTGAGATCATCAACAGCTGAGGAGAGTTGATAGCTCCTCCACTGAGTATAACTTCCTTTTCAGCCCTCACTTCTTTCATGATCCCTCCCTGCTTGTACTCCAGACCAACTGCTCTGTTATTTTCGAAAACAATCTTTGTTGTCATTGCTCCCGTCTCAGTATACAGATTGTCTCGGTATAGAACTGGTCTGAGGTATGCAGAAGCTGCACTCCACCTCTTACCTTTATGAATAGTCATATCCATGAATCCAACCCCCTTCCTGCTGAAAACCATTCATGTCATCTGTAAATGGGTACCCTGCCTGAACTCCAGCATCAGTGAAGGCTTGGAACAGAGGATTATTGCTTTTCCCTCTGGATACATGAAGTGGTCCATCTCCTCCTCGGTAGTCATCAGGTCCGAGTTCATGAGTTTGTGATTTGCGGAAGTAAGGGAGACAATTAGCGTAGGACCAGCCAGCTGCTCCTTCCCTCTCCCAACGGTCATAGTCGAAGGCATGTCCTCTTATATAAACCATGGCATTGAGTGAGGATGATCCACCCCATACTCTGCCTCTAGGCCAGTACATGACTCTGTTGTTCATAGCCTTCTCTGGCTCTGTCATGTAGTACCAGTTATACTGATCATCACAGAGGTTATACATTAAAGCTGCTGGCATATGTATTTTCCAACTGTTATCCTTTGGTCCAGCTTCCAATAGAAGGACTCTGTTATTAGGATCTTTACTGAGTCTGTTGGCTAGAACACAGCCAGCAGATCCTGCACCTACAATGACATAGTCATAGGTTGTGAGTTTATCTTCTGAGGCTTTTAGCCTTAGGGCAGCAACTCTACTCAGGTTTCTCCTGATTTGGGTGAAAGGTGAAGAGTTCACTGAGGTACTAAAGAGTCTTCTGCCAGTGGAACCTCCAGACCCTTTCACCCCAGAAACTCCACTGGACACAACATGGGGCAGGATCTCACTCACCACATCAACTAACAAGTCAGCATGAGGTTTCAGATCGGAATGTGATCCAACTCCTGACAAGACTCCGATCTTTGAGGCAACATTGGCTAATGATCCCATATGTAGATCTGACACTGTATCCCCAACGACACATACAGAAGAGGGATCGACCTTTAGCTCATCACAGATAAGTTTGAGATTGTGTGCAGAAGGTTTGGGCTGACTATGGGGGTCATCCCCACAAACCATCATGTCGACATAATTGAGCACGTCAAGTCCCATGAGATCACGGATGGCAGTCTCGCGAGATGACCCAGTGCAAATAGCAACCTTCACACCACTTAGCTTGAGGTTCTTAAAGACTTCTTTCACATCTTTATCAAGTGATTTTGGTTTGGTATTCAAGATGACCTCACTGTCCTGCCAAGCTTGATTCATGATAAGGATAGCTTCTTCATAGTAAAAGCCTTCTGATGTCAGAAACTTGACAAGAGCAGATTTCACCTCGTGCCAGGAGCCTTCAGCAAGCACCCCACTCTGTAGTTTCCTTGAACTTTGGCATGCGCCCATCACATCAAACACCTTATTGGCCAGCTTCATGCCTGTGATTTGTTCAAGCCTGAAATGAAAGAAGTTTGGTGTTGTACTTATTTTCATATTGCACAGATGACATAAATATATTATATAAATCACAAAAGATAGTTTTTGTTGAATATTGATCATTGCAATCATATTGATCATTGAAAGATATACTGATTTAAAAAAAAAAATATCACTAAAATAAAAGGAGATCAATTCTAATTCACTGTTCTCCTTTTTTCATGAAATACCTTCAAATGTAGCAGGTTTACAAATAAACGAACTCATGCACATGTGCAAAAATTATTACCCTTATCATATGATGCTGACTCCCTGGACACTGATCTAAATTCAGTCCAATATCATAACTATCATCTAGACATCAGCCACCAGTTATAACTGGTAAACCAAATGCAATTTAGAGTCCACAAATATCTTAACCTCAACTACCATGGCTAACGATCTTTACACAAGTAGTTACTAGTACTTGAAGGCATCTGTCATTAGTTATCAAAGTCACTCATGATGGGAAACCTCTGTCTATGTAGGTACCCTGTGGCTGTAATTAGGGTGGTTGTCATCATTATCACATAGCCTTTGGTGTCACAACAATTTACAACCTGCAGTTCAATATCATGTTCTTGTGCTGGAAGAATGATAACCAGTCTTTGACCAGTGGATTCTTTAAGCTAGTAACACTGTTAAATGTTTTTACACTCATTTTTCTCTTAAAGAACATAGAAAACCATAAATAGTTCCCACCTTTCTGTTAATCTCTCAAGCCATTCTGTGTGTCTACTGTGTGTACACAACAGTGTACCATGAATGTCAAAGATGACCAGGTCCATTTTCTTCTTGTCCACTTTGCGATCGCTAACATCTCTGCATGCTTCTTCCAGGGAGTGTGGCTCAATCAGAATGCGATCATTGGCAGAGTAGGCATAGTACTCCTTCCACCTGTCATATGGCAGGATGAGTGGCAGAAGATCCTTCACATTCTTGACCACATGGTCTGAGAGAGCCAGGAGTTCCTCAGTACCACACACTCCACTCAAAACACCAACGCTCCAGCCCAGGTTGGCATTCCTTCCCATCCCAACATCTGCAACTGTATCTCCCACCATCACTGTGTCTGATGGATCAACACCAACCGCCTCGCAGATCTTCCAGGCATTGTGGGGATTGGGCTTGGGCTGCATGTTAGGGTCATCTCCACAGACAACACAGTCAACATAGTCATTGAGGCCCAGTTGACTGAGGGTGCTCAATGTACCTGCACGGTTATCTGATGTGCAGATGGCAATCTTCATCCCATTGCTCTTAAGGATCCTAAACAGGGTTCTGAGGTCTGTGGTTGTCCTCAAGACATCAGGGTTTCCTACATCTCCCTCCAGCCAGCTTTCCTTGATCACTTCCCTGGCTCTTTCAAGAGACAGGCCTTCTCCAACAAGCACCTTCTCCAGTTCCACTGCTATCTCTGGTGTGGTTTTTTCTGCAAGGAGTCCAGGTAGGACTCGATTTGACTTGTGGCAGAAGCCAAGGGTATCAAATATCTTCTCCTCAATGTCAAGGCCACTGGACTTAGCCATACTACAAGAAAACAAATACTTAATTTAGGCTGACGAATAACATCTGGCAGATGGTGAATGCACACTAAAATGCGTACATGTATTTCTTATGCAACAATTAAGTTCCTTTCATATCCTCAAAATAGCGTTGACCATTAAGTCTTTTTAGGAAATTAAAATTGCATGCAATACACTGATTACTACTCCCTTGCTTAACCCATGTTTGTCATCATTCACTTGATGGTCAGTTAATGAATTTATAACAGACATAATTAGTGGTAACATCACACAGATTACCTGACAAAGCTTCCCATTTAGCATTTAACATCTGGGTAGACGTGGGGAAAAAAACAATAATAAAAGCAACAACCAGTCCTGAGGAATTGCTCTAGACTCTGACAGACATAACCTTCACACAATCCCTGTCAATCACAGTTATCAAAACAGCTCTAAAACCACACAACACGGGGGAGCAAAACATATTTGAAATGCCTAACAAAACCAACAAGTATGCAAATACATACTTTGCTGCTAGACTTTTTGCCCATGGTGTCCACATGGTATGGAAGCAGATAAGAGTCCCGTCTTTGTCGAAAATCACCAACTTGGCCTTCTTCATATTGCTCTTGCGATGTGAGACACTCTTTATGGTTTCTTGAAGGAACTCTCGTTTTGTAGATTTTTCTTGTTGCCCTTGGTAACAAATGGTAGATAGTTGGGATAGACATGCTGAAAAAGATATAAAATTCAATTTAATATCTCATCTTGTTCACAAAACTTTGTTGTCGCTTGACTTGACTATTTTTTTTCAGTTTAAAACCTGCCCGAAGAGCACCTAAAATGTATATGTTAATAAAAATATGCTCCATAACAGTAATGTACTGTCAGTACTTATTTTCAATCACAATGTTGATATGCATCTGGTTTAATTTGGAAAGAATCCTTCTCTACAAAAAAAATGACAATGAAGAATGCTTGAAAAAATTGGGTATCTAATTACTTCAAAATTAACCATGGCTTTCCACATAACATAATATGTACATATATATAATATGTCAAAGAAAATACTCATTTGTCTGACAAACTACTCAATCACCTATCTAACAAACTACTAATTTATCTCACCAACTACTCAGTCATCTTAGAAACCACTCAATCATCTTAGAAACTACTCAATCACCCATTTAACAAACTACTAATTTATCTCACCAACTACGCAATCATCTTAGAAACTACTCAATCATCTTAGAAACTACTCAATCATCTTAGAAACTACTCAATCACCCATCTAACAAACTACTAATTTATCTCACCAACTACTCAATCATCTTAGAAACCACTCAATCATCTTACAAACTACTCAATCACCCATCTATTAAACTACTAATTTATCTCACCAACTACTCAATCATCTTAGAAACTACTCAATCATCTTAGAAACTACTCAATCACCTATCTAACAAACTACTAATTTATCTCACCAACTACTCTGTCATCTTAGAAACTACTCAATCATCTTAGAAACTACTCAATCACCTATCTAACAAACTACTAATTTATCTCACCAACTACTCAATCATCTTACAAACTACTCAATCATCTTAGAAACCACTCAATCATCTTACAAACTACTCAATCACCCATCTAATAAACTACTAATTTATCTCACCAACTACTCAATCATCTTAGAAACCACTCAATCATCTTAGAAAATACTCAATTGTCTTACAAACTACTAATTCATCTCACAAATTACTCAATCATCTTACAAACTACTCATTTATCTAACAAACTACTCAATTGTCCATCTAACAAACTACTTAATCCTCTGTCTTTAGTTTTACACCGCTTTTAGCAATATTCCAGCAATATCATGGCACCACAATACCACAAATGTGCTGTACACATTGTGCCCATGTGGAGAATCGAACCCGGGTCTTCCCGTGACGAGCAAACGCCTTAACCACTAGGCTACCCCACCGTCCCTCTCTGTAGTTTAAGATTGAAAGGGTTAGTAAAACACAACATAGTAGCTTTGTAAAGAGTAATATTTTCGGACAGGCTTAATCACAAAATTAGAACAAAAGTTAACAGCAGATAACAAATTTCTCAGCCACAACTTATATGGAATATGTTTGGCCTGGAAGTCAATTACAGAGTGTGTGATTTGCCGTCTTTAATGAGTATTCATTTTTCTCTGTAGGAAATCAACATCAACTAAATACATCTAGAACAATATATATCAGCAAACATAATTGTAACCCCTTTTTGTGTTTTCTTGACCAGTTAGAAGATAATTAAAGTTAGATATCTTGAAACTAAATTCTTAAATTCCTGTATAATAAGAACATCTACAAAAACTCTGTATTCAGTCGAGAAAGTAGATGAGCAGATGACTTTCCATGACACTTGTTCATGGGTCCATTAAGATGAGGTACGATATTGGTGGATTGAAGTAGTTGACAACTGTTCAAACAGCACCTAAATGTCTGCAACATGGACAGCTGTGACAGTAATATCTACATATGTTCTCCCCTGTAGGGACCTTGACCTTGCTAAGTTTCACAAAAGTCAAGAGTTATCAGGGTCATTACTAAAACACTGGACCAGCATGTCCATCTGGAAATTTCCATGCTGAGTAATCGAGAATGACAAGAGATTCCTTCTGAACAACACAATCTTGCTATGCTAACATGACCTGTATATCACTTACAACATTGTCATTCAAGCTTGTTGTTTTCTAATCTACCATTCAGGTGAGTCAGCAGTATTTGTACGTAGGTGTGTCTCTAACCATAAGGCTAAGTCTTGTATCGTTTTCATTAGGCTGTACAATATTACATGATGTATCATTCATATGAAATTCACTACCACAACTTTCTGTGTGACAAACAGTTGGCAGATGTCATTAGACTGTTCTTAATCTCTCTCATACATACTACTAAATAAACATATGCACAGCCAGTATTTTTCCATGTAATGTTTTGAAAATGAATCATAAGTGTGTGTCTAATCAGTATGTCGTTATCAGTGAACGTTCCCTCCAAGTTTGAATCCATTGCCATTAAAAACCTGTCACCAAAACGTAACCAAACCTGTTTTTCTCAATAAAGGTAATAAAGCATGAATGTGATGTGATTCATGAGCTTTCTTTGGCATGCACGATCCGTGCAACATTTGCAATAAAAACCAGGGGGTCTGATTGTTTTAGCAGCAGGTGACAAACATAAATCTAGACATTGTGCTCAGCAAAACACTGCGATTGGTCATTTGGAAGCTGGCGATTCGCAGTCAGCGGTTGCATGGTAATTTAATGTGTCCCAGGGTACCATAGGAAGGTTTTGGCATCAGCACCAGCAGCATGGAACAACATGTGATCATTCTCGGCCAGGAAGACTCCGGGTGACCATACCCCGAACAATCTTGGACCAAACTGTCAGGAACCGCCTTCGTGACGCTGGTATTCGTCCTATCAAACCTTTGCAGGGACCTATCCTTACATGACATCAACAATGTAGACATGACATCAACAATGTAGACAGTGGTGTCGAAACCATCTCCAGTGGCCATTACAAGGTGGAGAACTTATGTATGTGCTCGGTATATGCTCAGGCATCATGACAGAAGAGCATATGTGTCAAGATGGCATACAGGAAGTGGACAGATTTGGTGGCAGTAGTGTTATGGTTTGGGCAGGCATTTAATACAGTGGAGGAACCGATCTTATTCACGTCTAAGGCAATCATGCAGCTCAACGTTACTGTGAAGAAATCATCAGGCCTCATGTCATTCCATTCACGAACCGTCAGAACTTCATTTTCCCACATGACAATGCTCAACCGCATACAGCAATCACCCTTGCTCAACTCAACGTTCAGGTTCGTGAATGGCTCTCCTGTTCACCAGATCTGCTCCCAATTGAACATTTGTGGGATGAACTAGATCGACGTGTGAGACAGCATGATCAGCTGCAGACCTCAGCTGCTCTGTTTCTGGCTTTGCGGGAAGAATATCAGAATATTCCTTGACAGTTCATCCAGAATCTGATCGAAACTATGGGACGCCAATGCCAGGCAACCATTGATGCTGATGGCGGTCACACAAGATATTGACTGCCCTGTGACCTTTACCTTACTGCACAAGTCATTTGTTACGTCCCTCCCCTACTTCCACTGGACAATACATGTTCATCAGTGTTTTCTTTATCGCTGTCCTGTATCACTCAAACTTACATGCATAAATATTAGTGTTGGGAATCAACCTCTAAGCTATAATCGATTATCGATGTCTTCTGTTGATCAATTGTCGATAAATGATCGACTACAAGTATATATGGATTTATGAACACAAGACCAGCTGGATGAGACAACTGCTACAAGATCGCTTGTAATTAAGATCTGTCATATGACACGAGATCGTAACCCATTCTTCTTAGAAATGGATTAAACACTTCGACGAAAGGATATTGAAAATCTTGGAGCATTTGACAATATGAATTTAGATAACACTATTTACAGTTAAATGATACGTACGTCAATTATTTGTGTGTGTGAAAATTGAGAAGTTGAACTCAAGATGTACATGTAGACTTCGATGCAGAAATCAGAATAGAACGGCTATAGATCTAAGAGTAGATGTGACAAGTATCAATAAAGCTATCCATTTCCAACCTTGTTCGTGAATTCGACGAGAATTGAGCCTTTCACAAATACAAAATGTTTTCTCGAAGCGAACGCATGTGCGGGAAAGCAGGCATTTTGTTGACAGTCTGCCCAGCTAATCAAACTGCTTGTTTCGAGCACATGTTATATCTCTCAGGAGTATATATTGTTTTCAAAGCCACATTTTCATAACATACTACATTTACGAAACCGTCGTCAATGCTTGCATATTTAAACATGCAATTAAACATGGGTCTAAATAATATATGTATCCACGCTAAAACTGTTATTACACTGCAAGCCACTGCCCCCACAAGAAGAAAACGACTGCTCCCCCGCAAGCTATAAATAGACTTGACTTCCTGTATTACGGCTGCGATGACGAGCCTACTAGGAGGTATTTACAAATCTTTCATGTACACACCAATCGTTTATGTTATTCTTGAAGATGGTGTACAGTGTTATCGATTGTAATGTTTTTAAATCGATAATCGAAATTTTATTGTCAAATGATCAATAAACTGATTATTTGAATGATCGGTGCAACACTAATAAACATGTGACCATTTGCAGATATGCATTTTTATTTAGTAGTATCTATGCCAGTACTATGGCTGATTGTGTGAATCAGGAGGCTACATTGCGTGACCTGGCTGATTGTGTGAATCAGTTAACTACAATGTGTGACCTGGCTGACTGTGTGAATCAAGTGACTACAATGTGTGACTTGGCTGGTTGTGTGACTCAGGAGACTAAAATGTTGTGACCTGGCTGATTGTGTGAATTACGTGACTACAGTGTGTGACCTGGCTGATTGTGAGAATTACGTGACTACAATGTGTGACCTGGCTGATTGTGAGAATTACGTGACTACAATGTGTGACCTGGCTGACTGTGTGAATCAGTTAACTACAATGTGTGACCTGGCTGACTGTGTGAATCAGTTAACTACAATGTGTGACCTGGCTGACTGTGTGAATCAGTTAACTACAATGTGTGACCTGGCTGACTGTGTGAATCAGTTAACTACAATGTGTGACCTGGCTGACTGTGTGAATCAGTTAACTA